ATAATAATAATAATAATAATCTACTATACTAATAAGGGCCCAAGAGAGTTAGGCCTATAATGGGTAGAAAAAATGGCGGTCAAGTTTTTTAATCAAATGAATGACTTAGATTGATCAGATTTTAGTTTTTCCTTAAGATTTACTAATTTATCCTTAATGAACATGATTATCCGTTAACTTTTCTGTTAAATATTATCTTTTCCGTTACTTTCTGTTAATTCACCGTTAACTTACTCATTGATTTCAATAAAAAAGGTTTTAGGTTCGAACGTCATCCTAATCAAAGTTGGCATAATTAGTACACTATTTTAGTCTTATTAAATTAAATAATAATTTAGTAGCTACAACAAAAAATAATACATATGCCTTTTCTTTAATTTAGAATTATGTGTCTACAATGTCGTTATTCAAAAAATAATTATTCATTATCAAGAAATTAAATAGGAGAAATAATTTCATTGGTTATATTGTCTTTATTTTTCTCCAATATAAAAATTCTTTACATTCAAATTCATCAATTGATTATGTTCGCTACATTGTCCCTACAATGTCTTTACTTAAAAAAAAATTATTCATTATCAATAAATTAATTAAGAGACATAATTTTATTAGTTCTATTGTCTTTATATTTCTCCAAGTAAAAATTCTTTACATTCAAATTTCAAATTCATCAATTGATTATATTCACTACATTGTCTATTATTTTTTTGTGCACTATTTTTTAATTAAATATCAAAGTTATAATACAAAATAATGCTATATAGTTGTTTACCAAGTATTCTATTAATACCATGAAAAATTTTTAAAAATATAATTAATAAAATCAATCATATTAACTATTTGAGGGTTTTGTTGACAAAGAGAATATTCAAATCACACAACAAATTGAAGTGAGAATTACCTCGCAATGTCCTTGTTTGACAATCAGCAGTTAGCATTAGCGGATTATATTAGCAAATTTGACCAGTGAATTAAATCAACGATTGGTAAAAAGATATTTTAAAAAAATTAGCGGTTGTTTAGATTAACATGTAAAATGACCTAAGGGTATACATATATTTAATAATCTACTATACTAATAAGAGCCCAAGAGAGTTAGGCCTATAATGGGTAGAAAAAATGGCGGTAAAGTGTTTTAATCAAATGAATGGCTCAGATTGATCAGATTTTAATCTTTCCTTAAGATTTACTAATTTATCCTTAATGAACATGATTATCCGTTAACTTTTCCGTTAAATATTATCTTTTCCGTTACTTTCTGTTAGTTCACCGTTAACTTACTCATTGATTTCAATAAAAAAGGTTTTAGGTTCGAACCTCATTCTAATCAAAGTTGGCATAATTAGTACTCTATTTTAGTCTTATTAAATTAAATAATAATTTAGTAGCTACAACAAAAAATAATACATATGCATTTTCTTTACTTTAGAATTATGTGTCTACAATGTCGTTATTAAAAAAAAAAATTTTCATTATCAATAAATTAAATAGAAGAAATAATTTCATTAGTTATATTGTCTTTATTTTTCTCCAATATAAAAATTCTTTACATTCAAATTCATCAATTGATTATGTTCGCTACATTGTCCTTACAAATTGAAGTGAGAATTACCTCGCAATGTCCTTGTTTGACAATCAGCAGTTAGCGTTAGCGGATTATATTAGCAAATTTGACCAGTGAATTAAATCAACGATTGGTAAAAAGATATTTTAAAAAAATTAGCGGTTGTTTAGATTAACATGTAAAATGACCTAAGGGTATACATATATTTAATAATCTACTATACTAATAAGAGCCCAAGAGAGTTAGGCCTATAATGGGTAGAAAAAATGGCGGTAAAGTGTTTTAATCAAATGAATGGCTCAGATTGATCAGATTTTAATCTTTCCTTAAGATTTACTAATTTATCCTTAATGAACATGATTATCCGTTAACTTTTCCGTTAAATATTATCTTTTCCGTTACTTTCTGTTAGTTCACCGTTAACTTACTCATCGATTTCAATAAAAAAGGTTTTAGGTTCGAACCTCATTCTAATCAAAGTTGGCATAACTAGTACTCTATTTTAGTCTTATTAAATTAAATAATAATTTAGTAGCTACAACAAAAAATAATACATATGCATTTTCTTTACTTTAGAATTATGTGTCTACAATGTCGTTATTAAAAAAAAAAAATTTCATTATCAATAAATTAAATAGAAGAAATAATTTCATTAGTTATATTGTCTTTATTTTTCTCCAATATAAAAATTCTTTACATTCAAATTCATCAATTGATTATGTTCGCTACATTGTCCTTACAATGTCTTTACTTAAAAAAAAATTATTCATTATCAATAAATTAATTAAGAGACATAATTTTATTAGTTCTATTGTCTTTATATTTCTCCAAGTAAAAATTCTTTACATTCAAATTTCAAATTCATCAATTGATTATATTCACTACATTGTCTATTATTGTTTTGTGCACTATTTTTTAATTAAATATCAAAGTTATAATACAAAATAATGCTATATAGTTGTTTACCAAGTATTTTATTAATACCATGAAAAATTTTAAAAAATATAATTAATAAAGCCAATCATATTAACTATTTGAGGGATTTGTTGACAAAGAGAATATTCAAATCACACAACAAATTGAAGTGAGAATTACCTCGCAATGTCCTTGTTTGACAATCAGCAGTTAGCGTTAGCGGATTATATTAGCAAATTTGACCAGTGAATTATATCAACGATTGGTAAAAAGATATTTGAAAAAATTAGCTGTTGTTTAGATTAACATGTAAAATGACCTAAGGGTATACATATATTTAATAATAATAATAATAATAATAATAATATTAATAATAATAATAATAATAGTTTAAAAAAATAAAAAATATATAATTAAGCCAATCATATTAACTACTTGAGGGATTTATTGACAAAAAGAGTATTCAAATCACACAACAAATTGAAGTAGGAAACTACCTCGCAATGTCCTTGTTTGGCAATCAGCAATTAACTTTTCAATATTAGTATATATTTAATATTTTATGCCCTAATTTTAATTTACTTTCCCTTATTTCCCGTATTTGGTTTAAACCATACCTATACAATTATTTTATTCACAATTATAATCAATCTTGACTATATTATCTTGCATTTGTACACTTAGAATTGTCTATTTAAATACGTAAATTTAACATTCAATTATCTATGCACGAACAATTCCAATATAATATTGCCTTGATATACTTTTAAGTACTTGTTTAAAAAAAACATTGGACATTATCCCAATCGCGCAATGCGCGTAAAAAACTAGTATATATATATAAAGACATAGGAGGCACCTAGATATCACCACGCAAGAATTCCCAAGGGATTCCCCACCACCAAGCCTAGGGAGGTCAATCGGGTGGAAATTTTAGGGAAGAACCTTAATAGCCAAAGGAGGATTAATTAAGGCTAAGAGGTAACCAATGTCTCAACAAAACCTATTTTCCTTGCTATGATCTCCTTCTTTGGCTCCCTCTATATACTTGTGTCTTGATGAATTTCATTATGATATTTGTGATATAATCTTGATTGATTGATGTGATGATTTTATGAGGGATCTTGATGATCTTGATGTTAAAAAGAGGTTCTTGATATTTATGTGATGATTCTTGATCAATCTTGATGGTTTTTGATAATGAAAATAAAATATGATTTTGATGATTTGGGTGGGATAAGAGCCCTAGGTTGGATTGGGAATTGATATTGTGATGTTCTTGATTTATATCTGGGTGGGAATTTGCATGTTCAGGTGTTGTTCGTGTCTAGAAGTCATGTTAGGATGTGTTCAATATGATTCTTGCTTTCGATCCATTAAATTCCTATGTGGTGTCGTTAATTGCGTTTAAAAGTGTCTAAGCATGGTTTCGGGTTCCAGGAAGGATCCCGGAACGCGTATTTGATAAAAGAGTCAGTGGGGGGTAGGGGGGGGTAGGTGAGACCGCCAGGCAGCGGGCAGCCGACGGGCAGTCGTCTGCCCGCCGGGCACCCGCTGCCCGGAAGTTGTCGCTGGCGGGCAGCCGGCGGGTGGCCCTCCACCCACCAGCTACCCGCTTGGATTTGAACTTATATATACTATATCCCGTTTCGCAAATGATTTTGTATATATATATATATATATATATATATATATATATATATATATATATATATATATATATATATATATATATATATATATATATATATATATATATATATATATATATATATATATATATATATATATATATATATATATATATATATATATCCTATCTATGTATGATATTTCACATGTATTGGTGGGTTACCAGCATTATTCGCTGACCGGGCATCGTCCCATATATTTATGTCTTTCTTTCAGGTGCTGAGTAGAGGTGAGCGCGGTCTAGAGACAGATAGTATAGATCCCTCAGTCCTGTAGTATGTTTTGTCCTGTGCGCCCTTTTGCTAAACTTTAGACTTGTTATTGTTGACCTTGTTCCTTGATAGACAGATTGTGTTGAAGTTGTTTACGCCTGAGCGTTCACCATAGTGTGGACGTGGCATAACACTCTATGTTTTCCATCTATTTTATGGTTAGTCTTCGGCTGTGTATGCTATTATGGTTAGAATTATCTGCATGATTAAGTTTTAAATTGGTATGGAAATCGGGGGTGTTACAACTATTGTTATTATTAATTCTTATATGGTTGTAGAGTTCTTGTATTGTATTTATATAATGGATGTGTTAAGACATTTTATAATTACATATTAATATTCTTGTTTGCATTAAAATTATTTGAAGGGACGGGGATCGGGATGCTTGATGCTGCAAACAATAATGCCGACCTAATGACAATATAATTGTGTTGTATTCAATAATAATGTCTGTGAGTACAGGGAGCGAATATATAGAGATGCTAGATACAATCCTAGTCTAACACGAATAATATAGTCCTAGTCTAATATTAATAATATAGTCCTAATACTCCCCCTCAAGCACAAGGTTGGCTAGCAAAAACATTGAGTTTGTCACGGAGAGAGTTAAAACGGAGAGACGACAGAGACTTTGTGAAAATATCCACTAGTTGATCCTTGGTTGGAATAAATTGCACTTCTAACTCCTTTTTGGCTACTTCATCGTGAACAAAATGATATTCAATCTCAATGTGCTTCGTGCATGCATGAAACACTGGATTGGCACATAAATAAGTTGCTCCCAAATTATCACAGCATAGTCGAGGAGGAGACGCAAGCGAGATGACGATTTCATGTAATAGAGAAACGAGCCATGTAACTTCTGCAGATACATCATCGAGTCCCTTGTATTCTGCTTCAGTCGATGAACGTGCCACTGTACGTTGCTTCCGACAAACCCAAGATATAAGATTACTGCCCAAGAACACAACAAAGCCACTAGTAGATTTGCAGTCATTCGGATCGCCAGCCCAATCTGAGGCAGAATAGGCGTGAATATCCATAGATGTAGACCGAGAAATACGCAGGCCAAGATTCAGGGTGCCTTTGACATACGGCAGGACTCTCTTTAGAGAGGCCCAGTCTGTAGTAGTGGCAGCATGCATATGTTGACAAAATAGATTAACATCATAAGATAGATCCAGACTAGCTACCGTAAGATACTGGAGAGCACCAGCAAGACTCCTGTATTGTGTTGGATCGGCAGAGGGAACAGCCACGTCGTCTGTGATTTTCGCAGAAGACACAGGCGTGATTACTGGCTTGTAGTCCACCATGCCAGCACGTTTGAGAATATCCTTCATGTACCGTTATTGGGATAAAAGCATACCACCAGATAACGGGACAATTTCTATTTCCAAGAAGAAAGAAGGCACACCCATATCACGAACCTAAAATTAAAGTGCTAATTTATCAATAAGAGCAGTAACACGATTTGAGTCAGAACCCATAATTAAAATGTCATTAACATACACTAAAGAAATAAAGACGAATATTGTCACGAGAATAGATAAAAAAGAAACACATCCGTCTTAGAAGGTGAGAAGCCCACAGGGACAAGAAAATCATGTAGCCTTGTGAACCATGCACGTCGAGCCTGTTTGAGACCGTATAGAGATTTTTTAAGCAAACATACATGATTAGGTAACGACTTATCCTCATAACCAGGTGGCTTCCGTGTTGGTCCCAAAAGAGATAAGATAAAAGTCTAGAGGAGGGGGGGGGGGGGGTGAATAGACTTTTAAAGTTTTTTGCACAGTAAAACAATTGCTAAGGCAACGGAGAAACCAAGACTCTTAAATAGATTGTTAGAGTCCGGTGCACAGCGGAAATAATAAACGATACGGTGTGTGTGTATATTGTGTCAAGATTATTCTCGTGCGAAGCAAGCAAGAGCAGTAAGTAAAGAAAGCAGTAAAGAACACAAGGCAATTTATAGTGGTTCGGAGGTGGTGTAATCCTCCTACTCCACTTGCTCTTATCTCTAAGAGCAATTCACTATATCCACCACTTCTTGGTTCCAAGATACAATGAATTATGTGATCTAGTGCTTTGATCACCAAGACCACACTAATCACGCCCAGTGCCACCAACACTGCTGCTTCGGGTTTCACGTCGCCGCGCTATTTTCCCAGGATTTAACGACTCCGCGTTACTTTTCCCCCATCTTCTACGCTCCGGTAGAAATGCTCCTTCCGTGATCTAGTGCTTTGATCACAAAGCCCGCACTAATTCACGCCCAATGTCTTCCGACATTGCTGCATCGGGTCTCATAACTCCGTGTGACAATCCAGGATTTCACAACTCCGTGTTACTTTCCTCCCTTCTCTTGTTTTGCTCCAAAACAAGTTTTGCCTTGATTCCAACTTCGAGACTCTATAGATGATCTTCAATGATGCGCTTAGTCTCTTGTAGTTGATGAAGATTCTAACACTCTTGGATATTTCTTTTGTAAGCTCTATATCACTCTGAGTGTTTATCTCACTAAGAATATATCAATTTAAGCTCTTGAGATGGAAAGCTTTCTTTGAATTTCGTATGCTCTATTTAGCTCTGCTCTTTGCATTCTTTGTATTCTTGCTTTTTGCTATTTTCTTCTGCTTTCCAATGCTTCAATCTTCATCCTTTTATATCTGGTAATGAGAATCTGTTCATTGGAAAGAAAGTTCTCATTTTTGAATTTCTTCTAGCTATATAGCCTTTTCAGAGGATAAGATAACGTTGCGGATATGTCAGAGATTCTCTGCAAGTTGAGCTTGAGGATTTCGCAAAAATTGTGTCCCAAAAACTTCATCTGGTGTAGATCATGCCTCTTGGGATTTCTATCTTCAAAATATAATCTCAAATTTAATCCCTTACTAGTTTGGACTAGTATTTTTGCTTCTGCAATTTTTTCTTGTATTTCCTCTATACTTCACATGTCTGGGTTTGTTTACTGCTTCCAGACTTCATCTTCATAATTGACTTGGGAAATCTCTTCCCATGTAAACTTCATCCCTTACTATATTTAGAAGTGAAATCCCATCCCTTCCTTGATTTGTCAATTGAAATCTCATCCCTTACTTGATTTGGACTTTCAACTTCATCCCATCCTTCATCCCTTACTATATTTGGAAGTGAAATCTCATCCCTTGATTTGTCAACTTTCAACTTCATCCCTTACTATATTTGGAAGTGAAATCTCATCCCTTGATTTGTCAACTTTCAACTTCATCCCTTACTATATTTGGAAGTGAAATCTCATCCCTTCCTTGATTTGTCAATTGAAATCTCATCCCTTACTTGATTTGGACTTGCAACTTCAGCCAAAATTGAAACTTCTGCCCAAGGGTGAGATACGTCAACTTCATCTCTTCAAATTGAAATTGCATCCCTATTTCAATTTAGAGATACTTTTGGAAGTGAAATCTCATCCCTTCCTTGATTTGTCAATTGAAATCTCATCCCTTACTTGATTTGGACTTTCAAATTGAAATTGCATCCCTATTTCAATTTTGAGATACTTTTGGAAGTGAAATCTCATCCCTTCCTTGATTTGTCAATTGAAATCTCATCCCTTACTTGATTTGGACTTGCAACTTCATCCCAAATTGAAACTTCTGCCTAAGGGTGAGATATATCCCTTCAAATTGAAATTGCATCCCTATTTCAATTTTGAGATACTTCATCCCAAATTGAAACTTCTGCCCAAGGGTGAGATACGTGAACTTCATCCCTAAAAATTGAAATTGCATCCCTTCATCTCTTCCATTCGGCCAAACCATCCCTTCAAATTGAAATTGCATCCCTATTTCAATCATCTCTTCCATTCGGCCAAACCATCCCTTTCAATTTTGAGATACTTCATCCCAAATTGAAACTTCTGCCCAAGGGTGAGATACGTGAACTTCATCCCTTCAAATTGAAATTGCATCCCTTCATCTCTTCCCTTTGGCCAAACCATCCCTTCAAATTGAAATTGCATCCCTTCATCTCTTCCCTTCGGCCAAACCATCGCCCATACTTCATTTGATGGATTTAAACCTGGCTTCTTTAAAATATGTGAGATGTGAGATTCAAACCTATGACCTTGCATATAATATTTCAAGCTTCTACCAACTCATCTATACAACCTTTTAGTCATCATCTTGTTTCACTTGGTGTACTCATTTCTTTCTATAGATGCTTGATCTTCAAGATAGCTTCATGCAAACTTTAAGTCACGTTCTTTCTTTTTTGGGATTTCTTGATGGATTTCTTCTTGAATTTCTTGAGAGATTTCTTCTTATGATGATAGTCTTCATAACTTGTGTACATTTCTTCATACGCATACATAATTCCTCTTCTGTTTGCCATTTTCACTAGGCAAATTTTTGATTTTAGGCTTTATATCTTCTTCATCCATTTTGCTCAACTAATGAATTTATTTTTCCCTTTCTTGGTCTATGACTCGACTAGTCTAACCAAAATAAAATTGGGGTTTTACGATTTACAATATGGCATATCAAAATCTATTACAATTTATTCCTAACAATATCCCCCCTTTTTGATAATGCCATAACTTATACTCAAACAAGATGAGTTTGACAAAAATAATTCTAGGGAAAATATTTGTGAATTAATTCAGACAAGTCCTATATGCATCCGTGATTAATTTTTAATCAATTTTTATATTTTCAATTTTCAATTTTGCATGCGTTTAACAAATCTTGTATTTTTAATTCACGAACTAATACATGATAGCCAAATAAATTAAAAACAGACTTAGATCAGACCAAGGGAAATATTTATTTATATTAGTCGATAGAGGAAATTTTTATTATAGCCAAAATCATTCCAAAATATAGATATTCAAAACACCATATTTTTTAGGAGTTCATATTTGATTACCTTCTGGGTTTCTTGACTCCCATGTCAGCTTTCAATATGTCCTTGATATGTTCTCTCATCTTGCAGATATCATTTTTGAACTTTTCACATTCAAATCTCTTGGTCACATTTCCAGCCATGTAGTGTGCAAAGACAACTTTAATGTTGGTGCCCGGAAGAACTCCGGCTTCCCACCAAACTATGCATTCTTCAAAGCTTCTTTGGAATCCCAAACATTCACCATTGTTGTTGGTATGATCTATAAGCTCGTACCACATCTCGGTTCGCTTTCTTTTTGCTTCTTCTTCATTATTCTTGTCAGATATCCATTGAGCTTGATCAGCTTTGGGCCATCTTTTCACCATACTTGGCACATTCTCGGATGTCCAGATTTTCTATGGTGTTACGGTTCCTTTTGAGCATTCGAATCAGCCTCGAGTTTCAGCAACTTCCGATGAGCTTGATCCAAGACTTGGATTTGCAAATTGAGCGAAACCAACTTGGGATTGTTGACCACATCCTCGGCCACGGCCTTTTGTTGGTGCGGCTGTCAAAACTGGCTGTTGTGGTTGACTTCCAAGGATGAATTCCTATTGTTGTAAAGCCAGATGATTGAGAATTTCTTCCCCCCTTATGGCATTATCAATCAAAAAGCTAAGGGATTTGGAATCTTGTTTTTGATTGGCTTTAACAAGTTTGACACCACCATGTGTTTTGAGAGAAACATCCTGCAAATCAGATATTTTATTAGCCATAGAGGATAATTCCACCTCAAGGTGATTTATCCTTGTCTCTTGATCTTGTATGGCCTTTATTTGTTACAAGTGTCTTTCATTGTTGATCTTCTCGGTAGCTTCTCGTTCCTTCTTCATGAGTTGGATTATCTCCAATAATCCTTCGGTGAGATCTCCTTTCAGATTTCTTTCGGCTCTGTCTATTTTCGTGTGCAGAGCGTTTTGATGTTCCAATAGCTCTTTCAAATTTGTTTGTGTGTCCTCAAAATGTTGCAAAGAGAGATGTCCTTGCTTGGTTAGTGAAGTTCCAATCTTTTGACACACAACATCACTTGTCTCTGTAACTTTTGCAAATAGTGATGGTAACAAATCTTCTTCATCTTTTTCACGGCTTCGGTTTCCACTCATGTTCAGAGAGTGCAAAGATTTGAACAAATTCGTTCGTGAATCAGGTAGAACTGGGTTTTCAACAAGTTGCATATTTCCTTCAGGTGAATCGACTTCTTGATGTTGATTTCCAGTTTCTTATTCTGCAATGATCTCTGTTCTTGAAATAACCTCTGTATTGAAATTGACTTCCAGAGAGTTGTTTTGATGTGACATCATAGGGTTGTTATCATGCACTGGCGCTTCATACAAACATTCCCCCCCCAATTGATGGTCTAATTTTACCTTCAATTTGATCCCTTACTTCATCCCTTGTAGGGTCCATTGCATTTATA